TCCTTTTCTTCAAAATTTTTTTCCACAAACTGCCACATAACTGGTGTAAAACTATGATAAATATTTACCACAAGTGCTATCCCACCAAAATGAGTGATAATTAGAAAACCATGAAAAACTATCATCTGTACTTCAAATCTTTTAGCTGTAGATTTAGCCCAGGGTGCCCAAACTTTTCACTTTCACTAAGAGCCGCATCTTGAAATATATTTAAAGTAAAGGGCCAAAGAGCGGTGGTCAAAAGAGTGGATCATTCAGGTTTAAGGATGTGCAATTAACTGAATTTTGATTTTGATTTAAATTTGTGTGTCAAACGATCTCCAAACTCATATAATCGAGTTGAAATGATTTAGGGTGCACTCACACTAGGACTTTAGAACCATACCCAAGCACAGATCGGAACATCGAACGCTACACAATTGTGCTTGAGCAGGGCACAGTTCTTAAGTCCTAGTGTGAGTGCACCCTTAAGCTTAACAAAGTTTAAGTATACTGATTTAGTTTTTTTAAATATAGAGATTGTAGAACAGCTGGATATATAGTTTATTTTTGATAATTTATGTTTTTCTATGCTTTATTTCATGTTCAAAGTATATTTTATTAATTTTATATTTTATATATTACAAAACTGCTCTAAGGTTCATATTTGTAGCCTATATTTATTTTCAGGTTTTGTGTAAATTATCAATAACAAAGTGTTTTTTTTTGTTTTTTGTTTTTGTTTTTTTTGAGAGAGAGAGAAATGCTGAATAAACGCATCGTGTAACTAAAAAATAATTGTGATTTCAATATTGACCAAAATAATCGTAATAATGATTTTTTTTCCATAATCTAGCAGAACTATTCAGGTTGGTGCTTTTTATATAGTTTTGACAGAGCCACCACACCTTTAATAAGGCTTGGGAAATGAATTTTAAGTTTGTATCGCAATGCAATGAGATGTTGCAGAATCTCATCTTGTTTAGCAATGATCTATGCAGCAGGAGTTTTGAGGATGAATAAAAATGGTTCTGAGGGCTGCATTTGGCCCCTAAGCCACAGTTTGTACAGCCCTGCTTTAACTGTATCGCGACCTCCAGAGTGATTCTGTAGATTTGGCTCAGCGCGCACATTCACAGCTCATCTCCCCAGTTTAATGTGTCACCTCTTTTGTGGGAGAGGGTGGTCCTGGAGGCGGGGCCAGTGGAGCGGGGAATTGCGGTGGTACATCACGCCTGTCAGAGGAGGGCTCTTTTGGGCAAAGACGGACATGATTATCTTGGCTGGTGGTCCGTCCTCTTCCCCCTCCTCCTCTCTCTCCTCCTTCTTTCTCTCCTCTCGTGTCACAGAGCAAGGTCGCTGAGCAGGGAGGTCATGGAAATGGAAATGAGCCCCGCCCCAATCCAAAGACAACGCTGATACAAGTGGGGTCTTATGCTTTAGTGTCAATACCCAGTTTCACAGTAATCCTCAAGATGCTGGTTTAATTCCATAACAACTCTTGTGTGGCTTACATGATCAGAAGGGCATCTGGAATAAGATCATTGATTTTGCTGTCATTTAGGAGCATTTATAAGAGAATTTAAGTAATTTATCCTCCACTTACATCTCTCAGTTTAACATTCACCCACAAAAGCTATATTTACACCATGATCTTCTCTTGGCAGAACATTGGCATATCATCGTCTAAATTGTGGCATGTTGCTTTCTAACTGGTGCCTACTGGCCTTCACAGTCTCACCACATTTGCTTTATAACCTTTCTCCTTTGGAAGCATAGAAAAGGGGCTTGAACACTCAAAGATCAATCACCCAATCAAGCTTTCTTTATAGAGCGCTTTTCATACAAAAAACGCAGCACAAAGCACTTAGATCACACTATGTTCTCTTTTGAAATCATACTATGTTGACTTTTCAAATCCCCCCTGGCCCGTGTTATTGATGGTAAATAAACTTCTCTTGCTTAAGATGCTCAGTTGGTCTCCAGCTTTTTACTTCCACCCTTTCGTGGACAAGCTAAAAACTTCTACAACAGCGCTGATATGATTTAATGCATATATTGGAACACACAGGGCTGTATTATGCTTCTGTTAGTAAACATTTAAGCATTCTGTGTATTTATACTCATTGACAGATACAAACGTAATAGTATTTTTAATGCGGGAAATTACAGTTAAAAAAACACTTTGGCCTATTTTTTTTTTTACCAACAGAAAAATCTGATTTCAAAATGGGTTAATGGAAAAAAAAGAAAAGAAAATAAGAGCCTCAAAATATATACAACTCTACAATAATATGCAACAGTAAATCTGCCATCTACTTCAAATAGTTTGCGATTGTAAGTCAGGGTTCCCACTCTTTTTCACTGACAAAAATTTCCATGACTTTTTAATGACCTAAAGTGAATTTTCCATGACTTTACGGCACCCTACATATGTAGAATTTATCAGACTTTTAGGGCTAAATTTGAAATCCTTTCCACTCACCTTATGGTTTGTTATTATAGTTTTTTTAAATTCAAAATACTGTAAATGCATTTATTGTCGTCTCTTTTAAACCAGGCCTTGAAAATTACATTTGTACCAATCACCGTGACTTTTCCAGGATTTCCATGACCATGAGAACCCTAGTAAATGATAATCAGTACGCTTAAGTACCAGCTTATAGTTGGAAAACAAAGTTCAAAAAGACATGTTAAAAACTGTTAATAACAGTACAGCCTTCTGATAAAAACAACAATGTAAGTCCACATAGGAAATTAGGGGTGTCAAAAGTATTGAAAATCAGATACTAATTGATATTAAAACTAATATTGAAAATAGATACTCATTTGAGCAGGTATTGATACTAAAAAAGTCACATTCACAGGACAAAATTGGTTTGCTTACCAGAACAGAGACCTAAGTAAATAAGTAAGTAAGTCTTTATTTATATAGCACTTTTCACAGACATTTTTTGTCCCCAAAGACGCTTTACAGATCATTATTCAGCATTATTCATTCACTCTATACCTGGTGATGGTAAGCTACTATTGTAGACACACCCTGGGGCAGACTGACAGAAGCGTGGCTGCCATGCCAATCGGCGCCAACGGTCCCTCCGACCACCACTATCACTCACACACACCACTTTCATACTAGGCAATGTGGGTGAAGTGTCTTGCCCAAGGACACACAATGATTGAATTAATTGTATTTTAACTGACCTTGACTATCAACTGTTCATGGAGACCTGTAGCATGTTTTGGGTTACCTCATGGTAACAATAAAAGCACTATTATTCTGAAGATGAAAATTACATTCTATTGCTAAATATCAACATCAGGTATCAGCACTGAGTCAATTCTTCAGTAACAAAATTGAGTTTGAAATTTTAGAATTGTTACAACACAATAAGAAACACAATAAAACCCAAGATGGCAACCAGCTGAGAGCAAGAGAATCAATGTTATTAAAAATTAAAATAACAATTCAACCAGTCCAATGATGATCCACACTATTTGCTTTCCTTATATTGTTTTTCGTTGTTTATCTATACACACAGTCATTAGCCGCTTTCATTAGCCATAATTAAATGAACTAGTAGTGCAGAGTAGTTAATTGGAGCTTGATAATAAAGCATTGATTTTTCATTATCTCACACGATCTAATTTCCATACAAATTAATTCCATGACAACACGTCTTTGTGCACTTTAACAGCATTTTCCAAAGGTAGCAGAGAGAGAAATTGCATTCTATCATCTCAAACGGGCGCCATTCTCCCCGCTTTGTTTTGCTTGTACTGAAACGCTGAGACTATTTCGAAACAACGTCTGCATATAATATTGTACTTTCCAGCCACTTTGACACCACGGCCATTTGTCTGTGAGTTAGCCGAACAGAAAAAGGCTATTTCCGAGTGCGAAATGAGGTAGTAGAGAATGGTAGGATGTTGTACAGCCCTGCCCCGATCACCCGCAGATATGATGGACTGTCATGATGAATGGTGACTACACAGGCTACAGACACAGATAACAGCAACAAGCAACAATATGAGCTTTTCACTTTCATTTCCACAGTTCATTTAAAGCACGGTCTCCAGCCTATCTCTGGGATCTCCTGACATTCGCAAATGCCAGTCGGAAAGTTCACAGCACAAGGCGTGTCGTTTGTCAGATTTCGGCGACTTATTCCCCAACAACATTTACGAGAAGATTGAAATGCAAGATTTAAAAACACCATGTAGAACCAAGTGCAAATCAGAACAGGCTCAAAAGTAAATAGTCTACATAAACGAACAGATGAGGTTCCAGCTTGAATCCTAAAAGATTTAATGTTAAACGGTATGACAAACTTAAAGGTGCATGATGTAACTTTTCTGTTGGGGGTCCATCACCTGCTTGTTTTTCATTTCTCTGCTTAAAAAGTCCTACAGTATGATATTAAACAACTCTACCTTTCACTTATTAAATTACAGGTGGTTTTACAGATCTAAAATAAATCGAAAAACAAGCATTCTGACTGTGAGAGGGGTCGCCTCTATACAGATCTGACCTATAACTTGGTCTGGTTTGGTCTCATTGAAGATAGAAAGGTTTAACACTATACTGTGAAACATTTCAGACAAAGCAATAACATCTCCTTGAAGAAAAGCATCTGACAGATCCTCCACCACAAAAGTTACACAATGCACCTGTAAGAGTAATCTACATCATATAGACTAAATTATGATCTGTTAAAACTGTTTATTTTGGGCCCATGTGTCAAATATACTAAAAAATATAACAGTTACTGAAAAGGCATGTTTGTTTAAATGTTCTTTGAAAGTGGAAAATGATGTAGCTTTTTAATAAAAGGTAGAACAGTTTGACATTTGTTTTCAAGTCAATCTAGAAGGAGCTACAAGTAGCAAGAGATTAGAAACCATTTCACAAAAAGTCAACATAAATGTTTTGTGATGACTTACAACCAAGCAATGACCAGCCTCAATACCCTGAACAGAGCGCTCTTTTAACAGGCGATATATTTCCAGAATCAACTTACTTTTCTCCCTGAAGTTTGTTGGTCTTGACGATTAAATCCTGGGTCTGCTCCTTTGCTGCCTGTTGATGAAATTATTCTGAATGAATGTCTGATAGAGGAAAAAGTCGAGCCTGGACCAAATTAACAGTAAATATGGGAACTGGATACTGCACCTTTAACCTGCTGGTCATCTCCTCACAGCAGCTGCTCATGGCCTGGACGTCTTCATTGACACTCTCGAGCTCCTTTCAACACAGAGTACAATAACATTTAGAAACAGTTTTATGAATACAAACCTACTAAAACATAAAACACACACACACTGGACATGGACAGGGTAGAAACTGTCTGTACAGGTAAGGTGATACCCAAGATAGATAGATAAACAGACTGTACACAACTGTATTCATTTACATTACAGATTTGTTGACATAATTAGTTTGATATGCAAAAATTAGGTTATGTAGTTGTCGAAGTAGAATTCATAGCAAAAGAGAAATTAAATTCTGTCAACTGTTTTTTGTTTGAATATGTTTTCACAGCTCATCCAAGCTGCATCCAAGCTGACCAGAACTGAAGAAGCAGCCTGGAGGAGCTGAGAAATGTATTCGATCAAAAAACTGTTCACTTGACAGAGTTAAATTTCTCCTTTGCTATGAGGTAATGTAGAGTTACTTTCACTTGACCACCAGCGTGCCAATTAACTGCAATAGACCAACAAGGAGAGATCACAGTGTCAGTCCAAGCAAAGAAAAAAAGAGCTGAAATTCTCTCTGTTGATAATATATCCTAAAATATCAAAGCAAGATCCTTCTTTATTTATTATCAAAGCCAAGGCCCCAAAGCCAAACATAAAAGGCAGTAAGGTAGGAAGGGAAAATATGTTATTATCAGTCTGTTATATGGGGTTGTAACCTCAAAATGTCTAAGCACGATACAAATATTCATCACTGCTCCTCTGTGAAAACAAATACAGACATTATACGACTACTACTACTACTACATTATGTTAGTTATTTATTCTACCTTTCCCACAGACTGCATTTAAGGCAAATCGTGTGTCTATGTCTAGTAAATAAGCATTATCATGATTCCCAATATCTATCATTGTGAAAGAACTATTCATACCAACACCTCTATTAAACCGAATCTTAGTTATGTCAGCGTACCTCTTTGACCTCTTTGAATACTCGTGCAAAGTCCTCGTTGATGGCCAGGCTACGTCTCTCTATGTCACCGCGGAGGTTCCTTCTGGTGCGCAGGCTGTTCTCTGTGAAGAACACTGACAGAGCTTTGAGGGCCTCCAGCATCTCCTGCAATGGTAGAAATAACAAAGTACAGTTTTAGGCATCTGCACACAGTGTTTCCCTGTAATAGAGGAGACTATGGTGACCTTCCATAGTCTAATTATTGCCCCCAAAGTTTGAAATGAATTTGAACAAACAATGGTAAAACAAATGATACTTTATGGTTGCACTATTGTCTTAAAACATATGCAAGTAACTTTTTTTTTTTTTTATAATTTTTTATTTATTTAATGAGACAGGGACAGTGCTCAGTATACATTAACCTTAACAGGAAAGAAGCATTGTACCAGGTTATAGCACCAGTGATAATTTCCACCTGTCGTCCCTGGGCAGGTTCATTGACTGATTGTATTTAATTGACCTTAGCTATCAACTGTTCCTCATGGAGACCAATGGAGCATGTTTTGGGTTGACGGAGGAAACCCATGCAGACACAGGGAGAAACATGCAAACTACACAGAGAAAGGACCGGGCGACCCAGGGATCAAACCTGGAACCTTTTTGCTCTGAGACACCGTGCTGCGGTGGCTGTCATTTATCTGTATTTAATAATTTTTGTCAGCTTAGCCAAAACCTAATTTATTCTCCTTTTATTGTTTTGAATAAAATGATTCACATACAGATCACTTGTGCCACCAGTCTCAATATAAACATGTGGGAAACACTGTCACAGTTTATAAAGAAAATATAGTTAATTTTTGCTTGACGACACTTGAGAGGGATTATCTGTACTTTTCTCACTTTTAACTGGACTGAAAAAAGTACTTTTCTTTATAGTATGAGACCACCTGAAAAAAAAGTTCATGGTGACACCCTGCTTAAAGGTGTTGAGCTCAAAACCAAATATATAAAAACAAAGGACAAAAAAGTTATTGTAAGTTATTGATTCATTAGCTTCTTTTGACCAAAAACCAGCACAGTTCCTCTCAAACTCACAAGATTTAACGCTTTAATAGTTGTTTTTCCTCTGAAGGTACATTTTAAATATAGTAGTATATTTTTACTCATATTACTTTTACTTGAGTACATTATTTGCCCCTGTATTAGTACTTTTAATTAAGTAACACGATTAATTAAGTACTTCTTCTAACAAAGAGCTCCTGAAAATTGTTTTTTAAAGCTAGAATACTATAATATACACAAAAAATATATCATGTTTTGTATATTTAGCCCGTTTTTGTCACCACTTTAAATGAGTTACTAAATTAAAGAAGCCAATGTTGAGAAAAGATGGATAGGGATTGACGATTAGCTCCGGTTAGCATGTTAGCCAAAACAAGCTGTCAAAGCTTACCTTATCATTGTCAAGCCTCGTTTCCAATATCTTATTGAGTTTCCTGGACAGTGGATTATTTTGCTGGGACGGTGCATTTGGATTTTGCACAGTGGTGGAGTTATCCGCAGTATTTTCCACTTTTGTATCAGCCATTGTACAAATCTAGCTCCACGTCAGGGGAAATGTTTTGGTCCGTCTGAGAAAAGATCCGGCGGACGCAGGCGAACACAACAAGAGTTCCGCTTACATTTTGTTTCATGCAAAATTTCGATTAAAACGCATAAATATTTAGTTGATAAAAATTAACACATTATTATTATTATTATTTTGATCGTATTAGAATATCATGAACGTAAATGGTAATTGCCAAATATGGTATGAGCTTTTGACTGTACATGTTGGCAAGCAAATATGATACTTTGACACTATGATATGAGTTATTATCATGACACTACATATAATTTCAGGGTGTTGAAAAATAATGAAAGAAGGAAATTATGTAGGCTCAGGATGCATGATCAGGATTAATCCAAATATTTGCTCAAATCATTAATGGTGCGATATTGAGCATGGATTTAGGCGGATGGCTGTATGTTTAGGGTTTTGTCGTATTAGTGTATGCCTGGATGAGAAATATGGGTACACTGACCAACCATCCCCCAACAAGTCATTAATCCACAATCTGGAACTGTTCCAGATCCTACAATTACTCCATGTAATTGACTTGTTTTACATTAAAGTACGCGTATATATCCTCGGCCACGACAACAGTATCGGTGACATAATTTACGAGGTGTACCTATAAATCAGAAGTTTACTAGCTGTCAGCGATCATGTGGCCGACTGCCTGGCTCTGGGCTGTGGAGGTGGACCGTAGTAGCGCTGCTGAGCCCGGCCTCTAGGCGGGGTCAGTGTGATGGATGCTCCCCTCCACAGTGCGCTCCCGTCCCGCCCACCTCCCTCTCTCTCTCCCGCTGCTCCTCCTGCTCCAGAGCTCCGGGTCCTGACTGACGGAGGAATGTGGGAAAGGCAGTCCGGTTAACGCACGCTTCCACACCGATCGGGACGAAACATTTGCCTATTTGAACACGCAACACAGAAGGACGCCATTCGTGGACCGCTGTGACTTGGGAACTGTTCGCGATTACGCACGGCGCTTGGTTCTTCGCGGACGGGAGAAAAGTTTGCAAAGGGGGGACCCACACAGCTGGAGCCCGCAGATGGAAAGAGGAGAATCGGTGTAGTAGTGGTGCAATTTGCAGAGCTCTTCCAGTATGTAAGTACGGGCTTCTTGGGCTTGTTTCCCCGCTTTCCGATAGTGCGTTATCGGCGATTATACGGCGTGCTCCTTGGTGTCACCCTTATCGATAAATCACTACCAGGTCTTTAGCTACTCCGAGTGCAATGATCACCAACATAAAAGCATCATGCCTGTGCAAAAAGGGTAGTTTGGGGTGACAAGATGCTCCATAACAAACGAAAACTCCAAGTAGATCAGTTGGTTTGGGCTGAATAGTTTTATTAAGTTCCTAAATTTACATGCATGCAATTTTACTGACTTGTTTATTACACCTTTTTTATGCAATGGCAACAAGAACAGTTGACTTGCAGCTGTCCCAACTTTGTCCAGCTATTGCACACTCCAGGTATGCCATAGTTTTTACATCTTAGTTATAAATAGCCAAGAATAAACTCCATCAAACCTGGCCAGTGTTGTCAAATTGTTTTATATATATATTTTAATAAACTTGTAATTTACTGGTGCTTGTAATATGTAATTTTTGTGTTAGTGTTTAGTGTATTTTAACATTTTTTTCTATTTGTTTTACTATTTAAACTGTCATTAAATGGTGGCTGTTGGTGATTGATATAACATTTGTCACCCTACACTTACCCTACACTTTTTTGAACAGAAAACCTTAGGACTACTCTTGCTGCTGCTGATAGATAGATAATTTTGGTAAACAAATTGTTAAAGCTGAAGTGTATCTTTTCCCCATTAGAATTCTTCACAGACATACACTGAGCTCAAACATCCTACAGTAAAACTCTCCACTGTCAACAATCCTAACCCCCTGACCTGACAAGTAAACAAATAAACAGTCTCCCGCTTTCAGCACGGGACAATTAGGTCAAATTTACCCCAGCCACAATACTCCCCTCCTCATGGATGGGATAGTGGAGAGGGGTGTGTCAAGTAGGCAGTGTTGAAAAGAATATTATAGTTACAGAATACAGAATACAGGCATGAACATGTATTTTATAACGTATTCCATTACCTGGTCCAATGGAGTATTGTATTCTGAATAATTTTACATTGAGTTGCATCATATTATAGTGTGAACGCGACATAGATTTATAGCAACTTTCTTTGTTGCACTGTTATGAAATTATTTATCACAGATTAATGATGGAAAAATTGCACAAGCTTTCACCACCAGAGCGTGCCGTGTTTTCATTTTTTTCTTATTTATACCGTACAATTTGATGCCTAAGTTGCGTGATCAGATGCTACATTCTTGTTTATTGTTTTAGCAAATTTAATTAAGTTGGAATACCTGTGGTTATGGTTAGTCCACATATTTTCGTACACATATTTCGTTACTTCCCAGCACTGCAATATGTCTAACAGTTGATTCAGTGATAGTTTATATAGTATAATGTTACTTAACCTTACTTCCTTGACTTTTCTTCATGCCCAAAACATTTTTCTTTGCTTAAAAAAAATGGGAAAATTAACATATACTACTTTTTTATTGTAGTATAGTGTGTTTATGAAAATTCTCAAATGAATTTTAGTATCTATGTCCATTTTAAACTGCAATTATACATTGAAAATAATACAAAATCAACTTCTCTATCTTAATGAAACACTGTAAATGCGAGGTCGTCATTTGAAGTCTGCTGGTCTGTGATTTTCTCCTACTTTTAAATTTGTTTTCTAGTAATAAACTTGCACTCTGTCAATTTTCTCTAACAATGCCGCCTTCTGTGTCTGGCAGGGACCCCGAGACACTGAGAAGGTGAAGTCTGCCGCCTGCTGTCCAAACACTACCCCTCTCTTTGTGGATATTTCTACTTTAGTACCCTGTGATTTCTAAACATTTAAACTCTCCACCACCATGGGTTCCAGTCTGACCTGCACCGGAGTTATATGGGCCCTCCTGTCCTTGCTGTGCGCCGCTGCCTCTTGCGTGGGTTTCTTCATGCCCTACTGGCTCTTGGGCACCCAGATGGACAAGCCGGTCTCCTTCGGGACTTTCCGGAGGTGCTCTTACCCGGTGCGCGACGAGGAGAGGCAGGCTACCGTGATGCTGGAGCAGTGTGGGAGATACGCTACCTTTAACGGCATTCCCAGTCCGGAGTGGAGGATCTGTACGGTGGTGACGGGGGTGGGGTGTGGGCTCCTGCTCCTGGTGGCCCTCACGGCGCTCATGGGATGCTGTATCTCCGACCTGATCTCGCGCACCATCGGACGGGTGGCGGGAGGAATACAGTTCGTGGGAGGTGAGTGTTCGCGGTGTTTGCTAAGTGGCTATAATCTACTCCTTCGCAGTGTTGTTGTGTGAAGTTTGCGCAAATGTGGGTGTTAAAGTGTATATGACAGGTTAGACTACTAATTTCAACAAAACTTTTCAACAAAAAAGTTAAAAATGCACTACGTGACATTTCAAGTGGAGCTTTTCTTCATGCAGATGTTATTGCCAGAGGTGGGGACTTGCAACTCGTGACTTGGACTCGAGTCACTATTTTTAGGACTTTAGACTTGACTTGATAAAATGGACTAAGACTTGGGACTCGACCTGGACTTGAAGGTCAATGACTTGGGACTTGACTCGGATTTGAGGCCTTGAGAAGACTTGAGAAGCACTTTTAAATATGAATTCTTTCTATTCTGACCCATTATGGTCACAGTAAGATATTGTCAAAACATTTAAAAAGGAAAAAATAACTAAATTAAATTCTATTTCTTTTATATACTCTATAAAAACTCATAAATATACTATGATTTAAGTACAAGTTATCTTAAAAGTCATCTAAATTGCAAAAATCTATCTATTCAAGACCTGAAATGACTTGAAGCTCAAAGCAGACGACTTGGATTTGACTTGGATTTATGGGTAAGTGACTCGAGACTCAACCTGGACTTGCCTGTATTTGACTTGGGACTTGACTCGGACTTGAGGTAAAAGGCTTGAGACTTACTCGAGACTTGCAAAACAACGATTTGGTCCCACCTCTGGTTATTGCTTTCTCCAAAATGTTCCATGGTAGAGACTGAACCTATTTATCTCAAGGGTGACAGCTATTGGCTACATTACAGGCCAGATCTGTGTAGAGGTAACCTTACATCATCGTTAAGATTAGACTAATAAAAATAAATGCAACCTTTACCACAGTTACTATTCCCCAAACCAAGTAGTAATTAGTAAAAGAAAAAAACCTGTCATACACACTATCTACATGAGATTTCCACATGACTTTTGAATGTTTTTGTGTTGTTAAATTTTGTCTGGTCTACGCTGTTTGAGTCATTTTTCCATTGCCTTTTTTCTATCACTTTGCAAGCAGTTTTGATTTGGAATTTTTGATATTGAGTCATCTTGTTGTCTTCCAAATAAGGCTATACAAATATTTGCGTTGTTCATTCTGTTCACTTTTTGGGCAAAAAAAGGACTAATTTATTATATTCAATAGTCGCCTCCTGCTGGCAACATTAGGGACTGAAGCATTTTGAAATGACAAATTAGCAGCATGGCATCTGGTAACGCTGATTTCAAAGCACTGTTCTGTTTGATAATTTTATTTCCCCATGAGTCTCTATTGGGGCTGTGGTTGCAGATTAAATGTACTATCAGCTAATGAGCCTCTTTAGTTATGATAGCAAAGTAATTAGAACTATAATAACAGAATAACAATATTATTGCTATTCCTGCTCCAGACAGTGTTTAGTATCTGTGTGGTGTTTTTAAAAGCAAGATTATTATATTAGGGTATATTGTAATTTCTAACTTTTTGGTTTAAAGGGCCCATATTACACTCATTTCTGATCTATGTTATGATGTTTATTTATCACAAACAGACCTGGAGTCGTGTTTTGTTTCATTCACACATGTTTAACACACAAATCCTGCATATTTAGTCCGAGTTATTCTCTCAAACTCACAATTCTCTTCAACTTTCTGATCTCACATGGTAATACAGGGAGTGCTCCACTGTGTTTTTAAACTCCATACACCTTCACTAGAATCATTTTGATGATTTTAGGCTAGAAATTGTCAGTCTCTTCTGAACAAAAGCTAAAATGTAACTTGAAAACTATCTTTATATGACATCACAAGGTGGAACAGAGCATTTAGAGCCCTGGAGATGTGGACAGACTAATAAAAAGGTGACTCAAACATGTGTGAATGAAATAAAACACTGCTCTAGTTATGCTTTTTAATGAGGTAACAACATTCTAACATGACTTAAAGCTCACAAGAGTCAATTTTGCGTAATATAGGACCTTTAACCTTGAGTTTGCCACTGACTTGATGATGAATGATGACATAAAAATAAGTTGTTCTCTCTTTTCCATGTACTCTCCACATTGGAATTCCATTTGCGAGTGCTTAATCATCCTTAGTAGGCATTTGTCCACAATGAAAAACAAAGCTCTTGGGTTTTAGAATGTTATTAACTTCTTCTAAATTGGATTTTCCATTTCTTCACTCAGACTTCAAATCCACAAACAATCGGAGAGCTTCTGTGATGAACAACTTTCGGCATTTCCCCATCACCTGCTCCTCTGTGTCTGTGTGTAAAAACCTGTGGGCTGTCTGCGGAGCTAAGCAGTTGTTTCTCTGGATTCAGATCAGTGCAGGAAATGAAAAGTCTCCCGGTGAGATGCTGAGCGCACTGTTCCCTTAATGACTTGGGATCACTTTACAAATCTGCTCATTGTTAAGGGTTCCTGTAGGAGTGATTGCATTTCCATTCAAGGGGAAAAATGTTACTAGAACTTAAAGGAGACATTCTGTTCCCGACTTAAGATGTATGTAATTGGAAAACTCTTTCACTTTACATTTGAATGCTTGGATTGGAAGTTGCCCATCTGATGCCCGTGTTGGAGGTTTATTCACTTATTTTGGAGCTGTGCGAAATTTTAATATTGAGTAATGTGATTTTCTAAATTCTTACAAGGTGCATTTCTTTTATCATTTTTTTTACTGAGGAAAATTTGCCCCAGACAGATATTATATAAGCAGCTCTGGAGGTCAAAATATGTTGGTCAAAATATGCGACAGTAAAACTCTTCTGTGGGAAAGTTGTGAACAGTGCTTATAAACTTATCATGGTGAATAATTTGGGTGCACGGACTGACGGAACTAATTCTGTTTTTCACGTTTTTTTCACATCTGCAAGGCTTAAACTTCCCGAGCAACTTGCTAACTCAATTTTCATTTTAGTCAGGGGTCTAGTGGGTGTAGTAAGCAGGGGTATGCCGTCCACCCACTTCTCCCGACGAGAGATTTAAAAAAAATAACAAATATAAAATAGCTACAACTTAAATGTCAAACTGGAGTTATTGGCAATGGTGCAGTACTGTCCTACCTGCAACATGAGGGGACCAGGACTGATCCCAGGACTGAACCAGGACTAAAACAGGACTAAACCAGAACTGAACCAGGACTGAGTGTCGGGATGGGCCCGGAGGTGCGCCCGTTTAGACCGTCAGGTGACCACAGGCGAAAGGATCGGGGCAGAGCTCCGCTCCCCCTGAGGCTCAGCGTGGCCATTGCCCGATCGCACTTTGCGGACACCCTGCTCCGCGGGCTCAGGGTTCTCCCTCTCGCTCTCAAGTCAAAGATTAGTTCTGGTTCAGTCCTGGTTTTGTCCTGGTTTAGTCCTGGTTTCGTCGTGGTTCAGTCGTGATGTAGTCCTAGTGTAGTCCTGGTGTAGCCCAAGATTAGTCCTGGTGTAGTCCTGGTGTAGCCCAAGATTAGTCCTGGTGTAGTCCTGGTGTAGTCCTGGTTTAGTCGTGGTTTAGTCGTGGTTTAGTCCTGGTTTAGTCGTGGTTTAGTCGTGGTTTAGTCTTGGTTTAGTCGTGGTTTAGATCTGGTTTAGTCCTGATTGAGTCCTGATTCAGTCCTGATTCAGGTGGACGGGATTCATCACATCGATGATGTCATGAATTGCGTACCTCTGCTTAAAAATCCCCACTACACCACCGATTTTAGTCAATTTTGCCAACCCCTTTTGTCGCCTCCTGCTGGCAGCATTAGGTATTGAAGCATTTTGAAATGACAAATTAGCAGCACGACTATTTCTAACATGATGCTTAAAGATACGTTTGACAGTTGTGTTTAGTTGCTGTCCTCAACCTTAAGGTAACTCTGAGTTGAAGAAATGCACATTCTTTGACAGCTGCTGCGTTGATGAAAATGTAAAAATGTCTTGCTTTCACGTTTGCTTACAAAAATGGAATCCACTTGTTTATACTCGCCTTTGTGTATTCTTGGGACATGAGGTCTGAGGGCAGGCTTTGGAGGCTGAGAGCTGCTCTGGCGTTCCATCCCTCTTATTAACTGTAGAGAGAAGAAGGAAAAAAAGTTAACTCGCATTTCTGTGGCTTACCGCTATGCTATTTACAATCCCCCCATCACTGGAGTCTTAAAAAGTGATGTGACAGTCGAGCAGGTTGCTGGCAGATTTGTCAAAAGCTACATTTCACACAGACCACCAAGATCTCAGTATGAGGTATGTCCTAGTTCCAAAGGGTTTAAGCTACTTAGAAACATCAGTATTAGTGATGTGGAATTTGGCGAGCAATATTAAGGTGATGACTTGGTAGCTGCTTTATTCCGAAGGGTGCACTTTTATGTAAGCTAAAGGCGTTATATATTACAGGAAGTGGCTATTTTTGGTTAAGGGATTAAAATACTGTGCTTGTCATTTCTTGTTTTGGAAGGCGCATAAATTCATGGAAAAGGTGTTGCAAAGTAGAGCTGCAAGATGGATCACTGTTGAATCAAAATTACAATTAGAATACAATAGAAGATTTCATTTCCACAACAAACAACAAAAATATCCACTTTTATTCCACACAAAAAACTGCAAACCTTGTACTTTAGATCTGTACAAACATGTTCTGCAAAGTGTTATATTATTTATATTTCAGTTTTTAGTCAGTAAAAATGGGAAATTTGGACAGAATCCGATTATTAAATATAAAAATAAAGTGCAAATCTAATCCCAAATGCAATACTTGTCAGATAAAACGTGATTCGATATTTTTGAATAATGGGCAATATGATATATCGGTTCCAGCATGGGTATCAGCCGACATCGTTACTCAATGCCAGTGTTATTTTTTTTACAAAAGTGAAAAGGTATTTTGTGATCTTTGCTTCAACTTAAGAGAAATTTCAGGGTCTTGCTTTGTGTTTAATGTAAATATCGGTATCGGAAAATATCGGTTATCGGACCACAGCAATATCAAATACTGGTATCAGCTCTATCTA